GGCACGTATTTTTCTTTAAAAACTGTTGTTTTATAAAACAAATTATCTTTCAACGTTTATATTTTCCCTAAAAAAGTCGATTTCTATACAGACATTTTAAATTAGACCTAAAACAATTAAAAATTGATCAAGATTTATTTGACATTTGTGACATTTGCTTTTAACGACTGATAACGAAAATATGGATACAAATAGACAGTATTTTTGTTTGTAAATATATATAAAAAAATAAATTCTGAAGGTATACAGAAAATAAGGAATTGTTAAATTTCGCGGGTTCAAAGGGTCCGGTTGTCATAAAATTTTCTTTATTATGTTGGTAGTATGATAAAAACTTTAGCTGTTTTCATTGTTTACTTTGTCTGTGGCAGCCGCTAAGGTTAGACGTGTTTTAGACGTTAAAAGAAATGGATCAAAGAATTTCTATCCAATTTTGCTTAAAAAATTAAATAAATTCTGTGAAATGTTAACTTTAGTGAATCTGCTATAAGTAAAACAAGAGTTTACAAGTGGTATAAGAGTACAAGATGGCCGTGAAGACGTTGAAGATGACGAACGCCCCGAACGTACAAGCACATTAACAACCGATAAAAACATGGAAAAAGTGGATGAAATGGTTATAAACCATCAGAGAAGTCGCTGATGATGTTGGTATATCGATTGGCTCATCCCATGAAATTTTTTCGAATGTTTTGGGTATGAAACGCGTGGCAGCAAAATTTGTTCTAAAATTGTTAAATTTTGAACAAAATTTTTGGCCAAAAACAATACTGTAATGATGCCCCAGCCTTCATATTCGACAGACATGCCTCTGTCTGACTTTTTCCTCTTCCCAAAAATAAAGAGAACCTTAAAGGGCCGTCGTTTTGCAAGCATAGATGACATTAAAAGCGCATCGCTGAAAGAACTAAAGGCGACAACATTAATGTAGACGAATAAATAAATATTTCTTTCAAAAAACGAAAATTCCCGATATTTTCTGAACACACCTCGTACATACCTATAACAAAGATATAATCAAAAAAATAACATTGTTTTTAATTAAAAAATACTACCATGTTAATTATATCAAATATCTTTGCTGCTTTTTTGTCTGATTGAAAAGCTGAATCCTTGAAATCAATTGATTGATTAAAATAATTACCCCTAACATTGAACTTGGGTGAAAATATTTATTGATTTATTTTAATTATTTTTAATTTAAAAAACATAATTTTTTACTTTTTAATGTAATACCTAGATAATTAAAAAAATTACTATTTAATAAATAATAAAGATTATAAAATAAAACCAAAATTGTGTTTAAAAAATATTTGTCTTATTTTTTACATTCGTTTGAAGAGTTTTAAATTTTAGACCATGTTCAACTTATTTACATATTTTCCTATATAGGAACTATTTATTTTTACTATCCTGTATTATCAAAACAACTTACGAATGACAAAACATTTAATATAAAAAATAAAATAATCCTTACCTACCCATATAATGTTAAAAGAATTGATGAGACTGCAAAAAAAGTTGCATTTCATTTTCGATTTGAAAATGATAGCCTTAACCACTAAGTAGTAAAATATGCAGGGTGAATTTAAATAAAGCGGCTTTAAAAAAATAGACTAAAAGGTGCCTTTTGTTGTGGATCGTACTAAACGTGATTCTTTATTTATTGTTTTATTAATGATCGACACTACAGATAAGAGTGGTCAGCGTTGAAGGTTAAATGTGAATGAATCATTTTAATGTGGAAACAAAACTTATTTTAACCAAATTATAGATATAATAAACCATTATATACGTGAACAAGGATTTAATTATTAAAAATTATTATTGACAACAAAAATTATTATAAAACAAGATAATTTTTAAAAATTAACCCCGGAGCATTCGCCATTTTTGAAAAACAACTTAAATATTTTTTTTATTTTATTTTATACATTTCTGTGCCCAAAAACCCATATTTATTTTTTTTAATAAATTTCTTAAAACTAAAAATTATTAATGGTGCCACGGTAATTTTTAAGTAATTTTTACATACAAAATATAAATTTGAAAATTAAAATAATAAATTTATTGTGAAAACAAAGATAATATTATGACTAAAAAAATTATTAACATGACTTTTTCTACTACCACCTTTAAAACGTACAATGTACATGTTTTCATGACACTATAGGGAGCTTTTATATACGTTTTAGTCACGGGCTGAAGTTAGCAACAGGTTTTTAGACACAGGCTGAAGTTAGCTTTAAATTAGTTGACATTTAATAAATGTCATATAATCGGTAAAATAAAGTGCTCTTTGTGAAATAATACTTAATTAGAAAATTATTCTATTACCTTAATATAAAAATACAAAAGTATTAAACAGTTTGTGCTGACCTTTTGTTTTTGTAGTAGTAGTGCAGTAAACTGGATTTAACTTAGAAAGCATTAAAAATTTTGCGTTCAGTGCCCATAAAACATTCTTTTCACTTTTACTACTTTTACTGTAAAAAAACTGCTTCTATATCGTCTATTTTTAAGGGGTAATTTATATTTACACAGAAAAACTTGACATTTTAACTCCGGTAGATTTCCAAGTTAGAAATTCTAACGAGAATTCCAATATATACAACTTTTTGAACCTTTAACATTTCCCGTGAAAGAATTTTTAATACTTTCTGATAATATTTTTCAATTATAGTAATACAAAATATCAAAGGCTTAAATTTTTTTAACATAATCATATTTTAAAGTTATTTTAATATTTTAGTATCAATAATTATAATTGTTAAGTTTAATAATAGTATATTAAAGAACTGTCATAAGACGTCATTTTGTCGCACGCAGACAATTTTGTAATGGACGAGTGCGACAAAAGGTCTTATGACACAGTTCTTTATGCTATTTTATCTATTTTGCAAAAATTCTATAAAAAAATTAATTTTATACCTTAAATTTAATTTGGTCAAATTTTACTTTATATAGTTGGTATCACAGTAATTGGTTTGACAGTTGATGTCAAAATCGATTCGCCATGCCGTCCTTAATTTACTTATTAGAAGTCTCGTAAGTACTAGAAAAATCATAAAAATATTATAACCAATATGCAAAATATTATGCTGTTTAAAGTACTATCGCTAACAAAAAAAACTCATACAGCTTAAAAATCTAGTGTTCCTGATTTTCTATCATTTCGTTGGAGTAATTATGGCTTTTAACATGATACGTCACATTTGAAAGGTCTAAAATTAAATACAAAGTTAGGTTAAAGTTTGAAAAAAAAATAATATTTCGTCATCCCTCTGTTTTTGTCAATTACTGCCCGCAAACGGCAAAGCATGGAAGTCGCCGTCTTGCTTTATCTCGTTCCAAATGGCTTCAATGGCTTGCCAGAGTTCGTCTGCATTGTTTGGTTAAAAATGTTAAAAAGTCATAATGGATGTGACAAAGCTCGATGTCAGCTTGAGTCAAGCTGCTTGACATTGACGGAAAAGTTTTATTCACACAGCCACAATATAGCTGTATGAGTTTGTTAGCGATAGTATAGCCAACCTATAAAATCAAAATTTTGGGTGGGATAAAGTATCTCATTACAGCACCGAAATCGGTGTTATAATGAAGTCATTATGAACGCAAAATAGATAAAATAATTTTCACATTTTATTATTATTTCACAAACAAATGATTGTATGACATTTGAAAACTGTCAAGTAACTTAAAACTAAATTCATTCCGTGACTAAAACGCCATAAAGTCACAGCTTGTCAATGCGCATTTAAAAAATAATAATATTGTCATGAAAACCTATAATGACCGTTTTAAATATGGGATTTAAAATGATAAAAGGCTGTTTCTTTCCTGTCTAGTGAGATTTAAGTATTTCCGCAGTGCCTCCAATTGCTATTCTAAAAGAACCAGGGCATTGAAATTAGCAACAATTCCGCACATGTTAATTTTTGTGTAGTGCTTGTTGAAATTACCAATTAATTTATAAATAAATACGCATGCGATCGCTCAAGGTTTTTAGCAATAACGAAAAACACATTTTGAAAAACTGATAATCAAATAACATCAATCACTAATTATAATTAATGTGGGTATGCGTACGTATTCGAACAAAGACAATTACCTATGTTAGTGTGGAAATTTGTGCGTGACTGTTAAAAAAGATAAGATGATTTTTCTTTGGAAAGGTCGACATAACTTTTGTTAACGTTAATAAATATATTTAAAATTCAGGTCTCGGACTTAATAATTATTTTGTTAACAAGTTTATAACCACATATTTCCGATTACATACAATTACAATTGTTGTTAAAAAAAATATTGTAAGTACTTAATTTAACATTATTATTTGCAACCAAGACTTAATATTTACATACCTACTAAAACCACAAATAATAATTACCTACACTTTGTTAAAAGGGTGAATATTTAATATAACCGGTCATTAAGAAGGACAATGTATAGTATTTTCTAATTTAAGTCACTTGTCATTAGGGGGAAAGGTGAGGTTAAAACCGTTTGACAGATGTCAAATGGGGAAAAAGTAAGGGGAAACCCACTTGACAGATGTTTTAACCTCACTTTTTCACAATTAAATGCACAAGTCACTAGTGACAGATGTCAGATTAGTAAAAAAGTGAGGTTAAAATCGCTTGACAGCTGTCAAATGAAGTTTAGAATAAAATTAAATATTTAATAAATCTTAAAACAAGGTAACACAAAATATTAATCCCAGCGCATTCGCCATTTTTACAAAAATCATACTCCTAGATAAATTTTCAAAACGATAGTATAATTAACTAAGCTTTGAAAATTTATCAAATTAAATAGGTGGTTAAAAACCAGATGATAAGAATAATATTTTTAAACATGATCCACATTAACAAAAAGACAAAAAAACAGTTAAAATTATTCAATACACGCGTTTATCTAAATAATTATTTTTATTTTTACTTGTACACTATAAAAATTAATAAATAATATAAATTAATAAAATTAATATAATACCCTAGAAATATACAATAAGTAATTGAAGGGGTTAATTTTTAATAATAGTACACAAAATATTGTAATTGCAATATCATATTTATTTTTTTACAATTAAAATATTGTGATTGCAATACCATTGGTATTGCAATTACAATATTTTTTTTATCTTTATTAAAATTTGTGCTTAACCCCTTCAATTATACTAAACAATAATGATTCTCATGTAAAAATTATTCGATTTTCAAAAATATCAATGTAAAAAGTGTGCCCACTTGCAAAATAATTTTACCCACTCAAAAACTTTAACATTCTAAATTTTGAAACCCAGGTATTCTAACAAAACCTTGTTGAAAAACTGTCTTATCGTCGGCAATGTTCATTTGGTAGGTGAGCAGCTTTTCGGCGGCTAAAGGATGCCACACACCAAACGTGCAAGCCACGTTCTCCTCAGGATCGTAGTAGTGACATCTTTTGGTCACCCGCGTAGACGGAACGTACTCGAAAATGTCCACAAAGTTGCAGTAAGGCAGCAGAATGCCTAATCCTAAAATAGATTGTATTAGCATTGTTTTTTAATAAAATGGATATAAGTAATGTACTGATCCAAATCTATATTTTTACATTAGGACGGGAATACGCTAAAGAAGTATCGGGTTTTCGCAACGCGCGCGCCATCTGGTGGACTTCAAAAGCATTGCGTGAATTTAAGAATTGTCAACAATATATTTAAAGCATACGAACTTCATTTTTAAATAAAAAGGTAGTTTTTTCACTAAGGAGAGGAAGGCAGAAATCGTACTTGACAAATTTTGTTCAATTGCACAGCTAAATCGCGCACGTTATTTGTGTTTTACGTTACAAGGAAATAATTAAAAAACCTTTTTAGTGCTCGATTTCGATTGATTATTCCTTATATCATTGATTAAGGAACTCAACGCTTAAATGCTTATATAGTTACGTTAGTGTGTGTATTTTATCTAAGGGATCATAGTGAATTATTGTGTTTTTAATTGTAAATAAAATTCAAGAACTAAATCGTTTCATTTTCATGTTTTGCCAAAGGATCCAATTCGGTAAGTACATTTGTTGGTGCAGAATTAACTAATGATTACTTTACCTAATATATTTTATATTTAAGTTTGGACATTTTTAAGAAATTAGTAAAAAATAATTTTTGCACAAACATAACCTTAAAATCAACCATTTTCATATTTTAAAAAACAAAATGTACCTACGAATTCATGGCAACATAATATTATATATATATAATACATAATATAATAGTATTTTACCGTTGAGTGGAGACTTTCTTAATCAACGCTTTTAATAATGCTAAATGCTGTTTAAATTTAGACGACTTATTTGATTGACGATTTTTACCGAGTTGAAATGTTTACACTTTTCACGTTAATCGCTACTAAAATGTGTATTTATTGTATCTAATAGGTACAATTTATACAGTGTGTATTAAAACGAATAGATACACTTAAATAAAACAAGTGCCAAACCCCGCCCACTGTGGTAGGGATTTTAGAATTATTTTTGTTTGAGAATTTATAGGTTTTATTTTTATCGAATTCGTTTGTTTTGTTTTAAAGCATTTCTGGTGAATATTTTAGTTTTGTTTAAAGACAAAAAAGGATTATAAAGAAAGAGGAATTTTTCAATTTAGCTTTTTTGTTAATTTTTTTTACAAAAATGTACTTAAATCGTAAGGCATGTAAGACAAAATTTAGTGGTAAAATGATTTAAATGCAATTACTGTACTGGAACAAAACTTTATTTTTTAAAATTTGGGTAAGTTTTACAACAAAAAGTATTATTCATAATCAGAATCGCTTGTGCGAACATACGTCCGACGTCTGCTGGCCGACATCCTATGGCCGATTCTATTCCGACGTCGGATCAATGTCAGTAAGGACTAACACTGAAAAATATCTGTGAAAACACGTAATCAATTGACATGTTTTAAAATACTTGTCAAGGCTTTAGCAGCATAGATAATAGCCTATACTATGTTTAGCAGTAAAAGGTGCACTTAAATCGTTTTACCAAAGATATATTTTAAAATATTTTGACTGGTTTTTAAAGACGATAAGAAATGGCGCAAGGAAATGTAAAATGTACTTATATAACTTTACCATTAAGTTAGAATATTCTTTAGGTGTGATATTCTGCACTTAGACCATTTATATAAAAAAGTGCACTTAAACCGTTTTACTTCCAAGCCCCTCAATTATAATCGTTCTCTTCTGATTTAAAACAACCTGGCAACTATGGTCCGTAATTACGAATGGCTTGGTTTAAACCACGCCCAATTAAAGTTTGTTTCTTTTTCTCTGATCAGAATATAATTTGTCATCCTTGTCTCCAGCCTTACTTACTTGATTCTATACAGTCTGTATTTACAGAGACTGTATGCAATTTATTTCTTCATTCAGATTAAAACTGTTTATTGGAAAACCGATAAAAACTCAACCCAGGATTTCCTCTCGAAATACACCCAACAACGCAACAAATCGAGCCACGGTTTTTTTTTTGATATTTTTTTAACATTATCCGGCTTTATTCTCAAAAACACTCGTTTGTGACATAAGCGTTTGACAGCTGATTATTAAAAGTTGTACTTTTGTTACGATGATGAACAGCCGAGTGGTGGCGCTACTAGCGATACTTCTTTAGCTTTAGTTGAACTAATTACAGCGTTGTCAGATATACTTTGTGGCAATTTTTACCTAAAAACCCTGAGGAAGGCGGGTTCCTCCTCAACCTGCTGGGCGAGTTGCTCTGAATATAATCCCAAACGTTCCACAAAGATTTCGGATTCATTAGGAACAACCTGGACTTCAAGTTTCTCTTGCGGAACTCCATGTAATTCGGGAACAAATTAAAGTCCGGCTTTTGCAGCCAATCGTCCAGGGAGGCCGTGTAATTGCTGGGATCCCATGCCACTATCGTGATATTTTGGTACAATTTTGACGTCAAAAACTTAAATTGCGGTTTGGTCACCACTTGGGAGTTGAGGAGGCGTATGGTGGTCTTGTTTCCTACGTCGTCGTGGAAACCAATGGTGGGGGCGTGGTTAAAACGCAATACCAAGTCATGCGAGTCTAAAAATGACATTTATATTTATAATGCTTAACAAAAGTGTATTTTTTACCTATAAAGGGTCCCAATTGAGAACCCTTGAGCCCTCCTGCGCTAGCAACGATTGCGCAGCTGTTAAACCTTTTGTTTTCAAATAGCCCTCTTTTGGGTATGTAACTGCTCAATGGATGGTTTCTTATATCAATTCTTCTTAAGGTGTGTATTGATACTTTTTTCAGTTCACAAAGTAACTCATTTGACGATTTGTCCATATAATTACCTAAAACATTGTTTTATAAAATATCTAAAAATGTTTTTTAAACTTTTTAAATCATTAAGTATTACTTTTGCATAAAAAAACATATCTCCCGTGCAAAGAAAAAACCTAAACACTAAGTGTTTGGTATATACCAAAAATATTTTATACAGGGTGGAGCGAACTTAATTTTCCACCACTGGCATCTCATGATCCGTAAGAAATACTAAGTTGGTAAAATCACAAAAAAGTTGCGCTAATTTATGAACATTTCAAGGATGTCAAGAAATAAAACTTTTTGACTATTGCAAACAATGTCAAAAATACTAGTTTTAAACTGATAGCTGCAATAGTAAAAAAGTTATAAAGGATTTTTTAAACTTCATGAGATTCCAATGATGGGATGGGATATCCCTGATAGCACAGTTTATTCTAAGAATGTTTTTTAAACCTTCCAGTGGGAATATTCTTAGGATCATGCTATATTTCTTTTAGTCATGTTCTAAGAATGTTTTTTAAACCTTCCAGTGAGAATATTCTTAGGATCATGCTATATTTCTTCTAAAGAACATGCTTAAAAGAAATATAGCATAATCCTAAGGCCTATAGGCAGGTTCTTAGAAGGTGCAAAGTTTAGTGGTAAAAATTAATCCACTCTAAACATATGCTTGGAATGTTGAGAAAGTAATTGCTGTAGAAAGTTCATTTAGGAATATTCCTGGAACATTCTATTAAGCATATTCAGTTCAGTTAGGTACCTATATAATAGTAAAATATACCATAATCTATGTATAAAGGTACCTATACTTAGTATTAAATACTAAGTAAAAAACACAACCCAAAATATTTTTTTATAGTTTTTTGTCAAATTAAAACAATATTCGATAACAAAAATACTTTTACTATAGGCATCTAAATTATCCGGCTTTAACATAAAACCTTCTATCCAACTTAAATTCAATGAAAAATGTTTTTTTTATGAAGAACTATTTGGTTTTTTCTTTTATGAAGAATTATTTTATAAGGAAATATTTCGTTTTTTTATATTTTATTTTATGTTAAAAATAAATATTTAATAATTTGTATACCGAATTTTTATTTCTGAATTAAAATTTTTATGTATAATAATCCTAACTATCTTCAACTTCAATCTAATCTGACTTATCCCACAAAATTTTCCAATTTTACTTTTTATGAAATAATGTTATACAACTTATGGTTTAGAGGTCAAATTGTTTATTTAATATTTTTAAATAAATATATATTAATATGTCGCAATATTTTTTAAGGGGACGACAAATACATTTCACTGTCATATTATGATAGTGAGGCGAATTTGTCGCCTCCTGAAGAATTTTACGAATGTAAAATCCAACATATTAGAACGTGGGTATCTGACATATTTGGAAATATTCTCAAAAGCTTCCTAGAAGCTCCATAAGAAACCTTCTAAGAACATTCCAAAAACGTATTCTTAAAATGTTCTTAGAATGCTTTTTAGGAAGGTTTTAAGAAGCTTCTAAGAATCTTATTGCATCATTAAAAGGGTATCTATTAAATGTTTTAAAAGTCCCTAAGAACATTCTTAGCAATAAGGGAAGGTTCTAAGAATATTCCATTATTCCGGGTCATATCTTCTTAGAAGATTCTTAGAATCAAATTTTGCTATCAGGGATTTATAACAGGTTCAATATCTATTTTTAACTTTATTATAAATGTTAACTTAAGGTAGATATACCTCTATCTCCAGTAAACCTCACATTGTAGGGATTTTCTTGGCCCATTCGCAGAATATTGCTTTCGTCCGTAAAAACTCTGCGCAACTCTTTTAATATTTCATCTTTGAATTGGAAAGTTTTCCTATCACAGTCAACTTTAGTCTGGTTACTCCAGCAAGAGTATTTTCTTGAGTCCAACTCGAAATCTTTGGTCTGCAAATTAGGAAACCTTGGTCTACTGTTTTTAACTAACGTGACATTCGTGTTCTCTTTTGTCGAGTGTTTAGTTCGTGATTTTACCTTAAATAACCCCGATTTAACTACTGCCTATACATGCATATACATAAATATACAGGGTGTTTCAAGTTTTACGTAAAAATGTAAAAGAATACCTACACTTTTAAATAACTAAACTTATGTTTCAAGATATTAAAACGTGCATTATTTTTCATTCTAATATAGCACTAAAAACACCAAAATATCAAATGAATGAAACACCCTTTATTATTAAAATTACATACCTCGTGAATTTTGGATTTGTTTTGGGAATTGGGCATGTAGCCTCTGTTGTAAAAGTAAATTTGTTGGTCAAAGGTAGATGGTGTGGAATCAGCTCCTTTATCAAGATATACCCAGTACTGTGACCATAGCAGATACATATACCCGCACATCCCGAAAAATACCAAATTTATAAAAACCCATATCGTCACGACTAATGCTCTCATTTTCATTAAAATATCACTAAAAAAATGTTAACATTTAAAACATCCCTCGTATGATGGTTTCGTTCGCCCCCCGTATATCATGATGAAGTTAGCTATGATAAATTGACAGATTAATCACAACTTAAGGTTATACAATAAAAACAAAACTATATTAAAAATTGACGAAAATTCGACAGTTCCCAAATATAAAAATATAGAAGATATTATTTACATACCTTTGGGTATTTTTGTTTCTTCGTAAATTACATTTTTCCTTCAGATTATCACAGGGCGCAAATCTTACGCCTGCAAGATAGGCTTTACACAGAGCATGCGTGTTTCGATGGCGATATAAATTCAGGCGTTTTCGCCCAAATTTTTGGGATATTTTCAAATGGCAACGTTAATAGAGGAGTTTCAAAAGACCTGGTTAACATCCATAATCGGAATAGGTTTACTAGGTGTCGGTTTATGGCTTCTAACGTGGAACGAAGTATATAACCGCTTAAATAGTTTGCAATTAGGATTGTTCTTTGTTGTTTTTTTAGGGTAGAGCCGTACATCATGCACATTCTTTAGATGAAACTTATAATAACGCAGTTAGTCTGAATGTTTATGAGCCAATTAGACCAGAGTTAAATGACAGGGTAGTTTATATAAGTGGTAATTTGAAGATCGATGAACCTTTGACTGAACCTGAGTATGGAGTCTCTATGCAAGCCGTTAAGCTCAAAAGAAGGGTGCAGATGTATCAGTGGATTGAAGAAAGAACGTAAGTTTAATAATATAACTGGTTTCTAGCTCTTTTTAGATAAGTAAATAAAATTTATACTAAGGCAGTTATAGCCATTTTCAAGACCCATTTATCTAGCTTAACAGTTTTTAAAAGTATTCTATTACTATGTTATGTAGCTAGTTTTATAAACGTCATTTAACTCTTATAAAGTTAAATTATGGCCAGGCGGAGCGAGTTTTTAATAAATGAGTGATCTTGAAAAGAAAAATAAATTGCATACCTACCATACTTTATCTACGACGAACGAAAAGTAACGGTTTTTAACTATCAAGCGGTTCTAACCTCACTTCTAACAATCTGACATCTGTCAGACGTTAACCTAACTTTTTCCCAATCTGAAATCTGTCAAACGGTTTTAACCTCACTTTTTCATAATTTACATAATACATTTGCACTAGTATACAAATTAAATGTAGGAGTAGATTTAGTGCATAGAAAAGTTTATAAATCAGTTGCATACAATACTTTTTCTACAACAAATATAAAATAAACATTTTTGACTTAATTTTTACCCGTTATTATTTAAACTTTACTTAAAATATTAAAATAAGTTCAAAATATGATTATGTTAAGAAAATATTTCATCCTTTTTTTTATTACTATAATTGCAAAATATCACAAAGTATTAAAACTCCTTACATGGGAAATGTTAAGGTACAAAAAGTGACAGTTGTATTTATTGGAATTCCCATTAGAATTTCTGACTTGGGAATCTCAAATTGTTCTGTGTAAATCAAAATTTATCTCTTGAAAATAGACTAACAATCGATATAGAAGCAGTTTTTCACAGTAAAAGAGAAGAGAATGTTTTATGGGCACTGTACGCAAAATTTTTAACGCTTTGGCGCAGTAATGGAATACCAGGCTATAGAGGGAGGGGGTATAAAAAATAATATAGGTATAAAAAATACAAAATTTTAAAACCTAAATGCATAACTTAAAAACTACTTGTAAAAAAGTTATTAGGTACATAAATTTTGATTTAATATTCTTTTTAAGCCCCAGAGACAATATACAGGCGGACAGTATCGCTGCCGAATCATATACACATGATTATTACTATGTAACAGAATGGAGAGATAAATTAGTGGATAGCAGTAGTTTTTATATTAGACATGGGCATCAAAATCCTCCGTAAGTTTAGTATAGCAATAAAAATCGTTTTTTTGAACATCAAATTTTAGCGAAATACCATTGAAGACTGTAGTGTATACAGCATCTAGCGTCAAAGTGGGACCTCTAGACTTAGGTAAGGAAATAAAGGAGAAATTTACTGATTGGATTGAGGTGACAGGAGATGAAAGACCTGAAAGAAAAGACGTAAAACTGCACATGGGTATTTATTATCATTCAGATGATGTTTGGAATCCTGAAGTGGGAGATATAAGGGTTCAGTTTTATTACGCAGGAGCTACAGGGGAACCTGTAAGTTATATTTAATAATAATAATAATAATAATAATTAAAACATTTATTGCCTTATAAAACAAAAATTTACAAATAACTTTACAATTTACAATAAGTTTGCAATAAATATGCTAATATTCTACACAGTAAATGTTTAAAAAACATTTGTGTGTGCATATATAGACCATAATAAAAAATGGTAAACAATGAAAAAGACAGAAAACATCAAATTAAAAATTTAACAATACAGTGTTATTAGATTAAAGATATCAATAACTATATTAAGACTGGATGTAAACATAGACTAAACTTAAAACTAAAACTAAAATAGAAACTAAAAATAGAACTAGATCTATAAGTAAAAACTAAAACTAAAAGGAGGATTATCGCAAACAATAAGTCCAGGTACACTTTTTAAGTTCCTTAGTTATTCTGAGATTTTTTTTTAATTTTTTTTAACGGTAAGTAGTGTTACGAGGAGTTTTTTAAATCAATTTGATTAGACACAAACTGACGAGATTTTTGCAATATATAACTTTTGCATATACTTTTAAACGAATTTGGAATAATTTTATTTTTCATATTTTCATTCGTACTTTTATTGTTGTTTGAATTTGTTTAATTTTTTAGGTAAGCATAATTGCGAGACAAAAAGGTAATGAATTAGTACCTTATTACACCACCAAGGGGCATGATATTGCATTACTTAGGCATGGAAATTTGAACATAAACCAAATGTTCACTGCTGAACATTCCGATGCAAGAATGGAGACATGGAAATTAAGAGGAGTTGGAGTTTTTTGCGTTTACGCCGCCTCCGTTTGTTTGGCGAGGATTTTAAAGATTCTATGTAAGAATGTGGTGGATTTTTGGCTTTTGATTTACCATTATTTTGTTAATTTGTTTTATAAAGACTAAATGTAACTATAAACCTACTTTTTAATCGTTTTTTAGTGTCTCAAGTTCCATTCTTGGGAAGTTTAACTTCAGACACAGTGTCCTTCCAAAATTTAACGTTGTCACTGTCGACTTCATTGGTTGTGATAGCCATAGCCTGGATTTTCTACAGGCCGTTTTTGGGGGCCGGACTGATTTTGGCCGCGTTTAGTCCGTTTTTTTACTGCACCATGGGCGTATACAATATGGCGCAAAATGTGAATCCAACAAGGTGATATTAAAGAATGTTTGGCTTTTTTGAGGAGGAATCGATATACAGTAGGTAGTACCTACTAGGTACTTCAAGAAGATAATAGAAATGAGATTATTTATAATTTGTGTGTACTAATTTTTAATAAGTATTTATTTGTTTTTGTTTAATAAAGGATTTTGTAGTAAGAGTTGCCTTCTTTTAGTTATTATATTTTATGAATTATTAAACTTCATATTTACCCACATAACACAAAAATATATTTAAAATATTGAATAAATTTCTTAAATAAACTAAATATTTAAGAAATATTTTAATTTATTTTCGGTGCAATTGCTTTTAAAAGCATGCTTCAAAATTAAAACTTAAATTATGTTAAAAGAATATTGTAAAAAAAGAAATAATGGTACAATTATAGTACACTAAAAAAAATAGAAGGTACAGTGGCGGACACGGAATTTTGAACGACCATATGGTCGTTCAAAATTCCGTGTCCGCCACTGTACAGACCTTTAAAATTATGGTACAAATACCATAAAGCGTCATTTGTAGATTGCCTTCCTTCCTCTAGTAGAAGATTAACAATACAATCCCGTACGGAAATCTATAAACGGCACTACGGTTTTCGTATTGTTCATATTTTACGGGAGGAAGGAAGGAAGACAATCTATAAATCAGGCTTTAATATGGTGCAGTTGGCAACACTGGTAGGCAACCCGGAACTATAACAGGGCGTGGCCAACAGGTGTTCTTTGGGTTCAAGGAAACAATAGATTTATTGTTTAGATTTAAAGGTTAACCCAAAAAGAGGTGTAATTTTAATTTCCTAATAAAACACATACGTTTCCAATAATGATATTTTATTACAAAATAAAGTTTAAACAATGCCATTAAACATAAAATACAATATCTGCAAAATGACCTTCTCGTCTTCTTGGATAGGAAACCATTTTTTCACCGAAGTTTTGGAACAAATTTTCATCTAAATGTATTCCAATTTACCAATAGCCCGTAGAATATTGTCTTTTAACTGTGAAAGCGTTTGTGGATCGTTTTCGTAGACTTTACTCTTTAAATTACCCCGAAGAAACGTCAATTGATGTTAAGTTGCACTATCTCGGTAGCCAACTGAAGCATAGCTTCTAGAGATGGGTCGGTATTTGAATACCGCGATTTTGTAGCGGGAACCGAAGAAACTACGATGTGATTATGCGTTCGCGCCCAGCCGCCATCTTAAGAACAACAAATTCGCGGTTTTATCAAATCTTGGAATATCTTGCGTTTTTTATAACACAAAGTAAACCGGTATTCCCATCTCTAATAGCTTCTGTCGCACTAACCGACGCACCTGTTTTCTTTCTTGTCGGCCCGTTTGGCGATTATTTTTCTTTCCTTTAAAAACATTTTGGAGCAGGTATCGACTTGTTGAAATGTCCTCCAAACGTGAAATTCGTTGTTTAGTTCACTGGCCACCTGATGTACCATATCCATGCATGTTTTGAACGTCAAATGTTCTCCAATGTATGGTGAATATATACGCACTTGTTTTTTGATGAAGTTTACCTCGTTCACTTCCAATTCAGTTTTCTTGACATTGTTTCCTTGATTTTCGATTCTTTTTATACAGGTGTTGACTTGTTTGAATGTCTTCAAAACGTGAAATTCATTATTTAGTTCATTTTTCACCTGATGTATCATATCCATCTTGTTTTTGAACGTCAAATTGGTTCCGACGTACGGTGAATAAATATGCACTTTTTTCTTAATAAAGTTTTCTTCCTTCATTTCCTTTTCATTCATAATTCTTCTTATACAAGTCTCGACTTGTTTGAATGTTTTCGAAACGCGAAATTCAATATTAAGTTCATTTTTCACCTGATGTATCATATCCATCTTATTTTTGAACGTCAAATTTGTTCCGATGTACGGTGAATAAATATGCACTTTTTTCTTAATGAAGTTTTCTTCCTTCACTTCCTTTTCATTTATAACTCTTTTTATACAAGTCTCGACTTGTTTGAGCGTCTTCAAAACGTTAAATTCGTTATTTAATTCACTTCTCACCTGTTGAACCATATCCATTTTGGTTTTAAATGTCAAATTTGGTCCGACGTATGGATAATAAATGCACACTTTCTTGTTCAGAAAGCTCTTCTCCTCTTCAGACAACTGAACAATTTTTGAAACCATTTCAAAAAAATAAAATAATTAAAAATTATTTATAATTTTATTTTAAACACTTCACAAATCAAAACGAGACACTAATTTTTTCTTTGGGAGCACGCAAAGCACTGGTTTGGCGGCGGAAATCGGGTGGGGTTTATATAGCAGCGCATTATGTGCACAGTGGTGGGAGGTATCAAAGTCCGAAGAAACACGATCTGTAAGTTCGGTATAAACCTCCAACTTAGTTTTACTTGTATTTTAGGCAACCGCGATTACGGATAATAATATAAAACTTAAAAAAATTTGTACCAAGTACAAGTACAAGTCTTGTCAAAAACAAATATTGTGGGATTCCGACTTGTCCTCTATTATTTGTAAAAAATTTGAATCCCACAATATGGATCCAGGATTCCTTAGTGAAAAATAATATTTTTTTCTTATGAAGTTATGCTGTATGGGTTACCAAGTTACAGTGTGTTTAATAACTTTTGAACACTGGAAAGCAAATTTAAAAATAAAAACAAAACAAATATTTTGTACAGTCATATATGACTGTACAAAATATTTGTTTTGTTTTTATTTACATATTGCTGTTACAGTAGGGTTATATAAAGAATAATATAGGTAGTATACTACCTATATTATTCTTTATATAACCCTACAGCAATATGTACGCTATTAATTACTTACATACAAAGCCATTTTTTACTTCTACCAGTTATCTTTTTTTATCCTTGAACTTCATAAACAAACATTATTTTTTACTATGGAATGTACTATTTAATTTTGTCTCAACCCTATATATTACAAATATTAACTTTTTATTTTTTGAACGTTCGTATAATTTTTTTAAACGTCCAAATAAATAAAAATAACGAAAATAAAATTCAATAAATCCTTGTTAAAAAGAATATTAGTGCACATTGGCACACCCTGAATATATTATAGTTAAAATTTAATTTATTAATTCATACCTGCCTGTTTTATGGCATAAACTAAATAAAACTCTATTTTATCAAAATGTCATTTTATTTTATCAGTTATAAAAACTACAACCTAATAAATTAGTTCTAAGAAAATTAGACTTGTGACATTATGTCACTGACATTTAGGTACATGGCTTAGCAAATTGTATACAAATATATTTATAAAAATAAAAATGGTAACAAAATTATACCCAGGGTTGTAAAAGTCATGACTAAACAAAATACACTGAACAATTAAACATATTTCTTTTATTTGATTAAAGCATGCAAGTTTAATAAAAAATCTATTTTTTCATTAAAAGTTCACTTTGCTTACTTTATATTTATTAAGTGTCAACAGAAAGTAATAGTATATTCAACCTTCACAACATTTTGCATAAAATTTTAGAGTAAATTTTGACATTTAAAATTATTTAATTTTGACATGCATATCATCTGCAAAACAGACCTACACACAGTTAGATAAAACTTTCTTCTGCCGAAATCTACACCTGAGGTGATTTAATATTAAAAATTAAATTTATTAATTTTAATTAAACATATTACTGCAGCGCCATTTATTGGAAGAAGTTTACGAAAAATTTACCGCCCAGACATTTGTGATTATTTTTGCAAGGCTAGGCTTGCTCAAAATTTTCTCTTCCCATTTTTGGTAATATTTAATATGTGGGGATAGTTTTCGAAAAAATGTTGTTTGAAACTTGATTGCAAAATTCTTTTGAATTCTCAAAAGTGGCATTTTGCAATCTAGAATTAAAAATAACTATTGTGTCATTTTTTTTTAAGAATAATTTCGTCATATTTCTTTTACTTTTTAAATATAAAGACATCCTAAGGTTTTCTCTTTCCCAATTTTTGAAATTACCAAACCTAAGCAGCTTTTTAGTAAGCCAATCAGATCGCGTCTTTTTTATTATTCTTGCTGAGTTTAATTTACTCAAATAGGACAAGTCTTCATATTCAAAATTCTATAAGGGGCGAACACATTATCGAATTATTTTTTGCCAACCCTGATTATACCTATAAATAAATAAATAAATAAGAAAAATTATAAAAATTCAAAGTAAAAATAAACATCTTCAAAGCTGTACAGGGTTTAGAAAATAATGAAATACCATGACAATTTAAAAAAAACTAAACAAAATACCAAAGTACTAAGAAAAAATATTACAGAGCAGATGCCTTGTTTATCTCACCCTTGTTCCAGCCTAAAATTAAATAGAAATAACTTAAAGTAAACTTTGTATAAGCACCCAATGGGTGCCACCCATTTAAACTAAATAAAAGATAAATTTAAGGAACCCATGCAAAAGCATGCAAAACTAAACAATAATTAACTAAATTTAGTTAGGACTAGGAATAACGAAAAACTGTATACAGACTCGGATGTTTGTTATAGCTCATCATGAGCTATAACTTAATATAAACGCAAGAAGATATTATCCTATCACCGAATTTAAAATTGACATTTAAAATTATTTAATTTCTACATGCATCTGCAAAACAGACCTACACACAGTTAGATAAAAATTTCTTCTGCAGAAATCTACACCTGAGGTGATTTAATATTAAAAATTAAATTTATTAATTTTAATTAAACATATTACTGCAGCGCCATTTATTGGAAGAAGTTTACGAAAAATTTACCGCCCAGACATTTGTGATTATTTTTGAAAGGCTAGGCTTGCTCAAAATTTTCTCTTTCCATTTTTGGTAATATTTAATATGTGGTGATAGTTTTCGAAAAAATATTGTTTGAAACTTGATTGCAAAATTCTTTTGAATTCTCAAAAGTGGCATTTTGCAATCTAGAATTAAAAATAACTATTGTGTCATTTTTTTTAAAGAATAATTTCGTCATATTTCTTTTACTTTTTAAATATAAAGACATCCTAAGGTTTTCTCTTTCCCAATTTTTGAAATTACCAAACCTAAGCAGCTTTTTAGTAAGCCAATCAGATCGCGTCTTTTTTATTATTCTTGCTGAGTTTAATTTACTCAAATAGGACAAGTCTTCATATTCAAAATTCTATAAATTTAAGGGGCGAAGCATTATCGAATTATTTTATGCCAACCCTGATTATACCTATAAATGAATAAATAAATAAGAAAAATTATAAAAATTCAAAGTAAAAATAAACATCTTCAAAGCTGTACAGGGTTTAGAAAATAATGAAATACCATGACAATTTAAAAAAACTAAACAAAATACCAAAGTACTACGAAAAAATATTACAGAGCAGAATCTGCTCAGCAGATGCCTTGTTTATCTCACCCTTGTTCCAGCCTAAAATTAAATAGAAATAACTTAAAGTAAACTTTGTATAAGCACCCAATGGGTGCCACCCATTTAAACTAAATAAAAGATAAATTTAAGGAACCCATGCAAAAGCATGTAAAACTAAAAAATAATTAACTAAATTTAGTTAGGACTAGGAATAACGAAAAACTGTATAAAGACTCGGATGTTTTTTATAGCTCATTATAAGCTATAACTTAATATAAACGCAAGAAGATATTATCCCATCACCGAATCTCCTTTTTGGTGCCTGTGGCAAAAGTCCCGCCCCAAGACGGCCGACAGCTTGCAAGGAGTCCCGCTACGCGTTTTCGCGTGACAGCTCTCCTTCGAAGCGCTCAAATACAAGGGAGTGCCGCTTCGCGATCTAGACATCTGCGACCGCACCGGCGAATAAAAATCGCTCCTCGAAAGGGGCGGAGTCGTGCTGCTGAAGCTGTCTTGATGCTCGTCCTCTTGTTCGTAGAAACTCGTCGTTTTTGTCGCGGCGTACGATGCGTATGCGATGGTTTCCGCGGTTTTGTCGGTTGTTATTGTCGAAGTTGGTATGTCTTCTTTGTATGCAATGGCCTGTTTGGGCGCCGACATGTAGGTGATGCCGAAAATTACCACGGATTGAACTAAATAAATGTACAAAACATGATGCATCAATTCGACAACAAAAAACTAAAAGGCCGGTTTACCAATGATAGACTTGCAAAATGCTCCTCAAGTTTCAGTTAGTTTATCTGGCAGATACTTATGGCACGCCGTTTTAGCATTTATTAGATAATAGTTTGAACTGTAAAACTTTAAGCTTAAAAATATTGATTGTTAAAAATTTTAGTTATAATATTTTATTCTAGAAAATTTTTGGTTTAAATTTGTAAAGTCATTTAAATGATTTTGTAAAATAAAGTACCTATTCAAACTACAATTTTAAAAATCAATATAAAACTTTTACATTTGCAAATTATATTTAAAATATTTTTTAATTATCAATTGTTTTGAGATTAAAAAATTTTACTTTTTAAACTATTTTGGTAGAAAATGTTTTACGTGTTTTTATTTTAAATGTCTTGACACTATTTTTAAATATTAAAAAAATTAACTTTACCAATTTAATCTGAATAGTTTTATAAAAAAAATTATTATTATTAAAAAATGATAGTTAGAAATGACTGCAAATATTGATTGGAAATAATATTGTTTAATACAGAAGTGAACTGTTAGTTAGTAAATTTTGTCTTTCAATTCATGATGATAGTTAAAAATATTTTAAATTTATAAATGTAAATTAAAAAATTATTTTATAAATGTCAAAACGGCGTGCCATAAATAACGTACCATTGTTTAGAAAACAATCTCTAAGTAGTAGAAAACTGCCACATTTTTTTTTAAATTTTATATGTTCCTATATTTACAATAACAACAACAACAATATGCCCAAAGAGCTTCTTTTACCTCCTATCTTCTTAGGGAGAACAGAGCCAAATTAGCATTTTTGTAATAAAAAAGAATAAAAAAAGTAGCCAAAAATAATAGCAGGTTTTTGAAAACTTTATTATTAATTGCATTTATTTTTTACCATTAATCTACTTAAAAGTAGTAAAAATTCTCAAAATTTCAAAAACTGAAAATTTCGAAATTTTATAAATTTGTAAAACTTTATAAGTTTATAAAATGGACATTTGACATTGGACATTTTAAAGATTTTCGGAATTTTCAAAATTTGTAAACGTTTCAAAATTTATTAAATTATTTAGATTAAAAAAATTTAAAAATTCTTAAAATGTCAAACTTAAAATTATTAATTTATAAAATTTTCAAAATCTCCAGTTTTCAATTTATTGAAATTTTCAAAATTTGTAAACATTTCATAAAATGGCCAATTTTTTTGAAATATCCAATATTTATTAAAATTTAAGATCTACACAATTTTTCAAATTCTGTAAATCTCGGCATTTACGAAATTTTCAAAATACTTGAAATTTCTAAATTTTTTACAATTTTCGAAATCTCAAAATTCTATAAAATTTTCAAAAACCTAATAAAACATTGTAAAATTTTTAAAAATTTATAAAATTTATAAAATTCTTAAATATTCCAAAACTGAAAATTTTCGGAATTTAAAAATATGTAAAAATTTATAAAATGGACGTTTTTTGAAATATCCAATGTTTAATAAAATTATAGATCCACACAATTTTTCAAATTATATAAATCTCGAAATTTAGGAAATTCTCAAAACATTTGAAATTTCTAAATTTTTTACAATTTTCGAAATCTCCAAATTCTCTAAAATTTCTAAATAATTAAAATTTGTAAATTCTTTTAAACATCTCCAATATTCAAAAACTGAAAATTTTCGAAATTTTAAAAATATATAAAAATTTCAAAATTTATTAAATTTTTAAAATTGTCAATTTACAACTTTTTATTTTTCAAAATTCTTAAAATCTCTCGAATTTTACGAAATTTTCAAAATATGTAAACATTTCATAAAATGGCCAAAATTTTTGAAATATCTAAAATGTATTAAAATTTAAGATATACAAAATTTATTAAAATTTATGATATACAAAATTTATTAAAATTTAAGTTTTACAAAATTTTTAATAATATTTAAAATTTACCTCTTATTTTTTTAATCTTCTTAGGGAGAACAGAGCCAAATTAGCATTTTTTAATAAAATAGAATAAAAACATAGCCAAAAATAATAGCAGGTTTTTGAAAACTTTATTATTAATTGCATTTTTTTTACCATTCTCACAAATTTTTTATAAATAGTTTACAAGAAAGTAATTTTTAAATTAAAAGCTACAAACTTCATTTAATGAAGTTTAAAAAAAAGTGGTAACTTTCTACTACTTGGTAGAAAATTCATTAATATTTATTTTTATTTTCACGACAAATTTCACTCAGTAATTAATAAAACGTGTAAAGTAAAGGGTGTCCCATTAAGACCGCCTATTTTAAATTTGGTGTCATTTTTTTTGTGTCAATCGTATATCGTTGTTGTTGGACAGTGGTCATGTGTAAACATTGAGGTTAAGTCATGGAGATTTACACGGACGCACAACGCATAGAAATTGTAAAAATCCACTATCGAAATGGTGACAATTTTTCGGAAACGGTTTGAAGATATCGTGGTTTTTTCGTTCACCATAGGGCACCTTCTCGCCGTACTGTGGTCCGATTAATCGAGCAATTTGAAACGATTGGGTCAATTCAAACCAAAAAGAGACATGTCCGTGTTCGTGCAGCTCGGTCTGCTGAAAATATTGCAGCAGTTAGTGAAAGTGTTGAACATAATTCTTCCACCTCTATTCGCCACCGTTCCCAGCAATTGAAACTCTCTCGAAGCAGTTTACAGAGAATTTTGGCCAAAGACCTGCATTTTCATGAGTACAAGATTCGGTTGAAACAATATTTAAAGACAGCAGACCATGCACAGCAACGAAACCATGGAATTATTGAGGACAAAATTTGAAGGCAGAGTTATCTCGCGCCGCGAGGATGTGATGTGGCCAGGCCGATCATGCGATTTGACGCCGTTAGATTTCTTTCTTTGGGGTTTTTTGAAGGAAAAGGTTTATGCTAATAACCCAAAAACAGTTTCTAAACTAAAACATGAGATTCGACGCTTCATTGATGAAATTGAGCCGGCACTATGCCAAAATGTAATCGAAAATTTTGTCAAAAGAATTAACGTGTGCCGTCAGTCACGAGGCGGCCATTTATCTGATATTTGTTCCATATTTAACCTCCATGTCTTCCCTCTTTATTGCAATAAAAATATCTTAACTTTTTAAATAAACACGGCATTTTTTTTAAATTTTAAAATAGGCGGTCTTAATGGGACACCCTTTATTTAAGAAAACATTTACCTGATACAAAAAGAGCACTTACCTATAACAAGCATAGTGATCGCCAATCCCAGCGACAGCGGATCCAAGTGCTGTTCCTGACCGTAAAAGGCCAGCGCCAAATTCAAGGGAGGCAGACTGACCACGGCTATCCTGGTGCTGAGCCTGGCCGTCAAAAAGGCGCAGCTGAGCATCGCCATTAGCATGAAAGCAAAGTGCCATACGATCAGGTAAAGCCTTTCGATGGCGGAATCGGTGCCACCCAAGGCGGAAGTAATCCAGGTTAGCTTTTCTTCGAGGGCTTGCCTGGTGCCCCCCACCAACGCGACCAAGTTGTGGACCGTACTGTTCACTTCTGCCAGGTTTTTTATCGTCGATTCGTATTGCTTACGAAATTGAGAGTTTTGCTCCATTAGCAAATTAGCGGATTCATCTGAAAAAATATGGCGCGTTGAGAGTAACTTTTAGCATGCAAGAGAAATTGCGCAGATAACGAAAATTTAACCCCGAAAAGTTAGCCGTCTAAGAAATTAAGGTATGAGCGTAGAGTAGGAGCGTAAGAAATGAGTGGCTGTGCATAAGTAAGAGAGATGAAAATACATTAAGCCAATTGCTTATTTTTACAACCTTTTTGACATGGGTATCAAATGAAAGGGTTAGAGTAGAAAACAATAAGATGAATGAAAATTTTCAAAATACTCAAAATTTAAAAAAAAATTAAATTTTTAGGCCTTAAATTTCCAAAATTTTCAAATTATCTAATATCACCAAAATTTTCTAAAATGAATTTTTAAAAAAATTTATAATTCCCAAAATTTACAAAACTGAAAATTTTTGAATTTTACAAAATTTGTAAACATTTTAAAATTAATAAATATTACATATTATATAAATTTTAATAAAATCTTCAACATTTTTTAAAATTTCCTGTTTTCAAAATTATCGAAATCTCAAAAATTTCTAAACATTTCAAAATATATAAAATGGCAAAAATTTTCGAAATTTAGACATTTTATTAAAATTTAAGATCTACAAAATTTACAACATTCTATAAATCTCGAATTTTTCGAAATTTTCATAATATTTAGAATATTCGAAATTTTATTTTATATATAATTTTTTACAATTTTCGAAATATCCAAATTTTCAAATTCTCAAAAATTTTCTTAATCATCAAAATTTTTAAAAATTCATAAAATTTGTAAAAACTTAAAACTAGCAAAAGTTCTCAAAATTTCCAAAACTGAAAATTTTCGAAATTTTAAAATTTGTATAAAATTTCAATTTTATTAAAATTTTAAGATTTCAAAATTTTAAAAATTCTTAAAATCTCAAAGTTAAAATTATTAATTTATAAAATTTTCAAAATCTCCAGAATTTTCAAGATTATTGAAATTTTAAAAATTTGTAAACATTTCATAAAATGGCCAAATTTTTTGAAATATCCGAAATTTACATTTAATTTCCAAAATTTTTTCAATTTTCGAAATCTCCAAATTCTCTAAAATTTATAAATAATTAAAATTTGTAAAATCTTTTAAAAACTTCTAAAATTTCTAAAATTCTCAAATATTCAAAAACTGAAAATTTTCGAAATTTTAAAAATAGGTAAAAATTTCAAAATTTATAAATAAAATGGCCAAAATTTTCAAGATTTTAGGAATTTACATTTTAAAATTTATTAAATTTTCAAAATTATCAATTTACAATTTTTTTTATGTTTCAGAATTCAGAATTTTCAAAATTTTCAAAATTTGTAAACATTTCATAAAATGGCCAACATTTTTTAAATAACCAAAGTTTATTAAAATTTAAGATATACAAATTTTTTAAAAATTCTATAAAGTTCGAAATTTTTCGAATTTTTCAAAATATTTAATTTGTCCGAAATTTAATTTTTTTTACAATTTTCGAAATTTTCAATTTCAAAAACTCTAAATATCAAACTTTCAAAATTATCAATTTACAAATTTTTTTTAATTTTCAAAATTTATAACCTCTTCAGAATTTTCAAAATTATCGCAATTTTCAAAATTTGTAAACATTTCATAAAATGGCCAAAATTTTTGAAATAACCAAAATTTATAAAAATTTAAGATATACAAAATTTTTAAAATTCTATAAAGTTCGAAATTTACGAAATTTTCAAAATATTTAAAAAAAAATTTACAATTTTCGAAATCTCCAAATTTTCAAATTCTCTAAAATTTCCAAAACTTTCAAAAATTTACAAAATTTGTAAAATTTCAGAAATTTATAAATTCTTAAAATTTCCAAAACTAAAAATTCTCAAAATCTCCAAAACTTTCTCAAAATTTATAAAATCTGTAGTATCTTCATTGAAATTTTTTTAACATTATCGAAATTTCCAAAACTTGTAATTTCAAAATTTATCAAATACACAAAATTTTCGAAATTTACAAAATTTATTAAAATTTTAATTTACCGAATTTTTAAAGTTTCAAAATCTCCATATTTCCAAGATATTTAAAACTAAAGATTTTTTGTTTTTTTAACATAAAATAACCATTTTCTGGATACCCTTTCAAAACATAAACAGCTTACCAATTCTTTGAAAAACTTCATGAGTTTTGGACTGAATCAAAAGCAAATCTTGCAGAAGCTCCTTATGATTAACTTTACTTTCATTACTTTGGTTATCCATTTGTGAGGCAGTATTCTCCAATTTTTCTTTTACAGTTTTAGTCATTTGGATTAATTCATTGTGCGTTTCCAAAATTAATTTTTTCTCATCCACTAATCTATTAATGTTATCTTCTATAGCTAACTGTCCATGAAATTGTGCCTTCTGTAGATCAGACTGTTGCTTAGACAATGTTTCATGACCTATAAATTAAATTAGTTGTCTACAAGCTTTTCTATTATTTTTGTTCTTACCTTGAGTTAGTGTTTCATATGTAGTCTCAGCAATATTAATCAAATCTTCCTGATTATGAGCAATTGTTCCCAAAGTTTTTAACTGATTCTGTGCAGCATCCATCAATCTATTGACTGTATTCTCAGCTAAACCCCTAAACTGATTTTGTCTTATCATGTAGCACACAGCCCTAGCTCTATTGCTCATTAAGTGATAACTAGTCCAAGTGTCAGAGTCCATTCTGATTGTACAATCTTTTATACTCATTTCGTCAGTGCAAAGGAAAATTTGCCTGCCTTCTATGTAAGACTGGCAATTTAGAAGGTGGACTGCCAGTTTGGCCACTTGCTCATCGTTTAATTTGTGGCAGTCAGTTTTTAGTTTTAGAATCACCTAAATATAATTTTAAGTTTATTTTAAGTTTAAAAAAAGTAATAACTGTTTTTTTTTTCAAATTCAGATTTAACAATATATAAAAAATAAACAATGATTAGGCTGCTGTAAGAATTAATTAAAATTAAATTGTATTTACCCTGACATTTTTTTAGTATCGGTATTAGTATTAATTATACACCCTGTAACTGTATATTTAAAACAGGTCAAGTTCAAGTGTAGATACTTAAAATAGAACAACAAAATTTTATTGCAGAATATTAAACAATAATATTTAATTAAATTAAATTAAATGTGTAGAAATTTGAAATATTTTGAATATTAATTATTACATAATATCGAATAATAAATGAATTACCCTGTGTTGACACGAGTCTAATTCAGACAGTGCAACTCCAGTAAGTTTGGCAGCCTCATTAAGAAACTTTTCGTCAATTGTGGATACTTCATATGGAATTTTCTGTTCAAAACCTTCAACATTTTCCTCTTGTTCCTGTTTATAACCAAAATATTCACCTAGAGAGCTTACATAATCGCCTATACCAGCATGCACTTCGTAAATAAATAAATTTGTAAGTAAAATAAATAAAATTAAGCACTTCATTTAAAAAACGTTATCTAAAAACGTTTAAAACGACTAACCAACAGCTGATTTTTGAAAATAACAATAAGACGGTGGTTGAAAACCGTTGACGCATTGCCAACTCATAGAAATAAAAGCCCGCGCTAATTATAATAAATTTCATTGCATTTTGAATGAATTTGTTTGTTAAGAGGGCTTATTTGCAATATAATTTGCTTTTAAAAATACATGTATTACTTTTAAAGTGCTGTTTTAAATTTATCTTACAGGGTCTTTAGACACGGCCTATTTGGCATCTGTCAAAATATTATAAGGGGTGTCCAAAGAACACAGTGGTCCAAAATTAAAAAAGTGCCTATTTTTAACAGAATGTTTGCCAAATTAAATGGGAAAATGTTTTTCGTAAAAAAAATTGGGTTATTTAATTCACGAGGGGAGCGAGTTTTTAATAAATGAGAATTAAGAGATTTATAAAACGAATTGCATTCTTTATCTACGACGAACGCAAAGTAATGAATTTTAAGTTAATTTTATTTGAAATCTGACTTTTAAGTAATTTTAACCTCACTTTGTACCAATCTGACTGCTGTCAGACGGGTTTAACCTCACTTTTTTTCCAATCGGACATCTGTCAAACGGTTTTAATTTTTTTATTATTATTATTACTATTACTGGATACAAAACGGAAAATGGCGAAATAAAACTTGTGTATTCAGTGGATTTTTTATTAAAGAAAACTTTTAAAATAAAAAAGATCAATTGGAAACACTGAAGCAGAAAAATGCACACTTATTCTTTCTTCTGGTGTTCTGTTTTTTTCAAGGAAAAGTCCAACCTTACATAAATAATAGCAAAAACAAACAAAACAAACATTGCAAGTGTTAGCAAAAGAGGTTCGTGGAACAATAAGGTGAATTTCCATTCGTATTTAATTTCAAAGTCCTGAATGTGTTGCTCAACGAGGTTGTTTTTTCTTAGTTTGATGATGGTTCTTCCAATGCTGTCCAAATATTTATAGGTAACTCCATCATCCAACCTTTTAGTCTCATATGGAGTTTTAACCCTAATATTGCTAACACCTACAGGCAAAACAATAGAAGTCTCCAGTTCCTCAACATGCATATCGTCAAAAACATGGTCAATCAACCTCATGTTCAACACATACTCTCCCAGTTTGTTTTTGTACAAATACTGGTAACTCGGTACACTGTAGCCCAAAGTGTAAGAGCTTTGCCATCCTCCAAACAAGGGGAATCTAGGCTTTAACTCCAACTCCGTCCATTCATTACGGGTTTTAACATTTGAGGTTGAAATATTACCATTGCTATCTCTGTAACAAAAATTTAAACCAAATTAAGTCTAAAAATGTAAAAAATCACATAATTTTATTGTAAACACATTATAAAAACATTTATTAGCATAAAATGGAATATTTTAAATTATTAACAAACAGTGTAAAATTTTGTATAGGTAATAAATATGTGAACTAAATACCTGTAATAAATGCTATGAGCAGCTGCTGGCAAAATTGTACGGTAAGATTTAATGCTATGGGCACTGCCCGAATCCCTCTGGTAGTCATATCTTGAAAAAGGCCCCTTCAATTTGGCTCCAGTGTGGTGAATCTCAATGTTTTCTTCAATGGCAATATTACCCCAGTGGGAAATTTCAATGTTTCTCTCCAACCTTGACACAGTCAAGAATGGGGCGTTATTCTCATAGTGCACCACAATTTCCTCATTGCTGTAACTTTGGATGTCTTGGAATGGACCGTATGTGATGGTGGAGTCTGATTGGCTGGATGGTTTAAGTTTGGTGTAGTTTTCAATGCTTCTCGAGCTTAAGGCGACGTTGGTTGTTTGTTTTTTCGTGTTGTATGGGGAGTATAGGTAGGCATTTCCAAAATACCTAACCAACTGTTTTTCCTTCTGCAATATACTGGTGGGATGTGGGACCAAAGATTTAGTGAAAATAGTTTCCACAGTGATAACGGTAGCGCGCCCGCTATCAAGTGGTTGTTTTAAGATAACATTGTAAGCAGTTAAATCTTTTCTTCCCTCGATTTCTGCAGGCTTAAACTTGACGTCCTCTTTAAGCGCATCTTTAACGGTGATTATTGACAAATTTCCATTTACCGGCGATTCAACAACGATCAAATAATTTTGAACCGACTCCTTGCCGGCATTTTCAATGGTTATGACGGATGATATTTTTACTAATTGCGACGTTAAATCGATCGATCTTTCTACATTTTTGTTGATTATTTGTTTATTTACCTTCTCGGCACCGTGAACGTACGTTATACAAAGCAATAATAATATAGATTTCCACATTTTATCTTCTTTAAAAGAACCACATCAACATTCCAAATCACCAATTTTTGACGTTGACAGTTCCAGGAACTACCAACGGAAACACAAAAAAATTGTCAAAAATATTTCAATGTTGCCAATATGCTAAATTCAAAACCTAAATAATACCTAAGAAGTCTATAGAGTTCTTAATAATACCACTCAACGATAATACGTTAATAATAGGCTTTGTTGTAAAAATGTCTGAACTTATAAGAACGCTACTTTAGCAGTCCGTCTTGGATACATGGACAAAATTTTTTGGGAGCAGCTCGTGACACCCAAACACGAGAGATCTAAACTCGATGGGTCTAAAATTTAAAAGCGCGGTGGGTCTAAAATGTGTGGCAACGTCGCACTTCAAATAAGGTTTGGTTCACATTTTTCTTAAATGAAATGTAAATTTTCGGTCGGTTGGGTATCTACCTACATTTTTGTTTTCGACATGTAGAAAACCTTTTTCGACGTTTTCGACGGTAGAAAACGTAAAAAAGTAGAATACTGTCAAATATCAAAAAATGTGAGGTTATGCAAGTTTGTTGTTTATTATGATTTGTTAAATGTTGTGAAAAATCAGACACCTACCATAAATTTGAAGTTATTTGGAGTTTTTTAACATTATTATGGTGGGAAAAAAAGGGCCACGTTTGGTTGGGAGACCCCAACATAATTTTTGGCATGAGGGCAAATTTTTATCAATTATAGAGTGGAAGGAGAAGATCGAATAAGGTAATTAACGTAGGTAGAAAACCCTATAGGTTTTCGACGCAAGTCGAAAACAAGTTTTCTACCCTTTTCTACCAAGGTAAATTACCTAAGGTTTTCTACTGACCCAACCCTGCCTCTGATATACCCATAACCAACAAAATTTACAAAGTTACTGGTGCCATCATAAAGGTACAATTGGCGTCCTCGAAATGTGAACGATTTTTGGTTGTCATGGATTTTTTTCATAAAATTAATTCGTTTATTCCTGGCTTCGGCCAGTGGTGTTACAAATAGAGGGGATAATACTAAGAATAAGAATATTTTTTAATAATATTTTAACAAACAGTAATATATACAATATTACAAATAAATTAACTTTAATTTGGTTTTGTACAACAATATTAACAAGTAGGTAATTAACAAATAAAAATAACATAGCAAATTTAACATATTGCTCAAGAAAATTGGTCTTTGAGTGAAATAGCTGCAGATTTAAATGTCTTAAGCTTGTAGCAAAGTGGTGGAAACTTGCCGAAAAAAAACTATTAAATTTCGCGGGGAATTATTAAGGCGGAAAATTTGAATTAAGACGTGTTACCAACTTTACACAATGATAATATCGTATAATGAATAAAGTAGTACAAACATAACCAAATCGCTTCAAGCTCTTCAATAATTTTCAACAGCATTCCGTGAATTATTTCGTTTTGCTGGCTTAAAAAACTGGCAAAACAGTTATGTGGTTGTTGTTTACCCACTCTGTAACGCGAGCTGTGTGAACTGGTGCATTGTCCTGTAATATAATATATATTAGAATCATTTTTCTATACTATACAGTTTTCTAACATGTTGGAATAGGTATAACATTGCCATGAAATGGTTCTTCAGGGCAACACTAATACATGTCAGCGTCGTCAACCCGTCCTTTTGAAACATTCTAAATTTAGAAATAATATAATTAATATATTAGATGACCTTTTTAAAAATAATTTGACGAGTAAGCATTTAATATGTATTTTAAATATGTGGATACCTAACTAATATTGTATGTTTTCAGTACTTCCAGAGGATGCCGAAAGTCAAAACTGGTTGAGATAATTAATAAATAAAAATATCCATGTGGCCAAAAGCAAAAAATTCACATGGCCTAATTGTTGGAACCAGTATATCATCAGTTTATCCCACCTATAGTGAGTGAGAGAAAGGGGAGAAACATACAAGAAGGATAGTAAAGTATAGTATGTGACACAGGTGTGAAACAGAATCGGCAAAACTGGAAACATGACCCCTAATTGATAGTTGTGTGCCATTGGGTCCTGTTTGGCTTTAAGAACTTTTTAAGGAGCCTTATTGATATATGTAAAATAGTTTTAAAATGTAAGTATTATGTTTTAAATTCAAAACTTGTTGGCTTTTTAGCAAACCTTGGTTTTTCATTACTTAGGTTGAGTTGGTTCATAAAAAAGAATAATTTGGTTATTAGGCCTTGTGACAATACAAATTAAGCAAAAAAAATGCAAAATGCACACTAGTTATAAACTTGTTAGTGTTCTAAAATATATTTGTAAAAACTTATAATTTATATTTCAAATGTTAAATCTTATAAATTTGTTAGCCTATAGTTTGTAACCAAGGTTTACTATAATTATTATAGTCAATAATTCTCTTTTGGATGCATTTTGCTACATAATAGCCCCATAAAATTTTTTGAAAAACGTGTTTTTAAATATATTTATATACCTATGTAAAAGAGAAAAATTCAACCAAAAAGAATGCAACCTCGAATGAAAATGGTCCAGACCATTTAAAAAAATTAATCTTTTTTAATGTTTAAGGTTACTTCTTTTAAAAGCTAGAATTTTTTTAATTAATAGTTTATCAGTCTAAATGTTTGTTATATTAGTTTTCTACCAAAAATTGCCCAATATATTTTTACTTTAAATTTTATGTTTGTTAATTAAATTATTTTTAAAAGGAGTTGGAAAATGGAAGCCATAGGACACCAACCTGAGAGCATAAACCTTAATTACACAAATGCAACACAACCTACAAGTTTGAATCTATTGTACACCAAGTGGAGGACATAAACCCTACTTACGTGAAATTCAATGCAAGAAAGAAGACATTCTTGCAAGATGCAGTTCTACTGCACTAGTTGCATATTTTATCCAATACTATAAACTATAATGAATCTTTGCCATTGAATACACTAAATTCAATAGTGATACTTTCACATGTAACATTTTTGTACTGCATTTTGTAATATCTTAAAGTCAAATGATACCTATGCATATTCTTATTTTTGTAAAGAAATATTAATGTCATATTAAAAAAAATACCAAACAGTTAGGTATAGGTACTTTATTATTAGTTTATTTTTGTAAAAGTAACTTTTTATTATTAAATTTGTAAGGTTTAAACCTACAATTGTATTTTTACTCTTCAAGGAAACGACCTTTAATAATTGTTTATTGATTTATTTTCAGTTTAAAATCCGTAGTATCCAAATAATTTTTAAATAAACAAATCATGCGTCATTTTTGTTATGATTCATATGTCACGTGACGTGTTGACTTCTGTCAAAATATTTTGCTTTTTGTTTGTAATGGTGGAGTTGTGTTTTTCTTCTAATCTGCGGTTTCAAAAAATGACTTATTTTAGAAAGATGGTCACTTTAACATATGTATACCCAGTTTTTAAGTTTGACACACATTGCAAACAAAGGGATTATTTATAATTTATTATCTATGATTATTATTCATTATCTATGATTACTTCGTTGCAAAACCGGAGATTTATTCGATTGCCATTTTCATAAAATAAATACAAAATACAAAATGTTATACCATTGAGTTACTCAATGGTTATACCCTAAGACCCTGTCTTAGGTTATACCTTAACCGGTCTTCAATCTTAGAATTGAATTTAAATTAATGATTTCTGTACCAACTTTAATAGATATGGTATAGATGGCTCCACAATAATTTAAAAACATATACTTACCAAGTATATGTTTAAAAATATACGTATATGTATAAAAATATACATGTACGTGTACGACTGGTCATGTAATGTCTATAAAGCAGTGGCGGATTTACCAGCAGGCTGAGTAGGCTCGAGCCTAGGGCGGCAGATTTTGGGGGCGGCAAATTTGGGGAACGATTTTTTTTTACCTCATAGAAATCAAAAAGATTTTTCTATGACGGTTTTCTGATGTCTTACAGATAGAAGTCTGCAACAAATTTTGTCGATGACTTTTCTCTCTCACTTGTCATTGCACATTCCGAGAGTAGCAAACTTCCATATTCTAGAGTAAAACAGCTAGTTCGCCGCCCCTCAACCAGTAATCGGCCTCTCGCCTCTGCGCCCTTTGCCCACACTTCTTATGAGTGAAAAGAGCGAAATTGTAAAAAATATGCCCCTCTTCCCACTAACAACCCATACATGCCAGTCTTACTACTGGTTGGAGGCTACGAACTGGATGGTTTGTATATAATTTTTCGATTTTTATTCGAATATAATGAATAATTTAGTGAATAATTTTACCGATTTCAATTTTATGAATCGACTATTATGTGTTTCACATGCACTAGTAGCTTCAGAAAATCGATTGGAATTCAAAAAAATCTTTGTGCGTAGAGTCGAAATTAATGAACAAGATTACTTACGACATCATCGATGATATTGCCAACAAAAAATCGCGCAAAAAGGCATTGTAACGAACTTCTATTTCGTCGTAAGTAATCTTGGTCATTAATTCCGACTTGACTGAGTCGATTATTTTTAACTGTTTGAAAGCGCAATAATAGTTATTTATGTATTAAGGGCATAAAAAGGTTTTTATGGCCCGAGGTTTTTATGGCGCGAGGGCTAAAAAAGCGTCGTAGGACCATAAAAACCAGTTATGCCAGCAATGCATACAAAACTTTATGCACGATTAATATATTATTATTTTTAATATATTATTGTTTTTAAAGACGTTTACGTCAAAGAATTTTTGTTATAATTGTCATATTATAATGTCATCGTGCATAAATATTATTGACATCAGTCAGTTTTAAAGTTTAAAGATGAATGAAATTGAGGAAGCAACATAAACATGACTAATTGTAATAACTGTATTGTTAATATAAATTTAAAATAAAATAAGCTCATAGTTTTGCGCCTAATGTTTTTAATTTTTGACGTTTCATTATAGCCCGCTGGGTCATAATAACGCCCGCGGGCTATAAAAAGACGTTTACGTCAAAGAATTTTTGTTATAATTGTCATATTATAATGTCATTGTGCATAAAGATTATTTATTCACGTTTACCAAATGTTCATTATTGTGTAAATAGCATACATTACCCCGCCCATACAT